TATCACAACTCTAAAACCCTAACCCTAACCTTCTCTCTCTCTCAACGGGTTCTCTCTCTCGATGCTGCAACATCACATACGCCGTCCCTCCTCGGCGGCCTCTCCCCGATGCAGCCCAGCCCCCCCTCTCTCCCTCGATAGCCGTCCCTCCCTCCAAATGTCTTCTTCCGGCAAAAATACAGAAAACTCCACCTCTTCCTCCTCCTCTAATTCCCCTCACAACAATTTCCAACGTCAAGCTTCATGTCCCCATACAACTAAGTTTCTCTCAGCCCAACTACAAAAAGTGGAGTCGGCTATTTCTTCTCCTGGTGCGCCAATTCACGCTGCATGGTTTTCTCTCGGTTTCTAAAACACCCTCCTCTGCTGATGATGATGAGTGGTTCGAGCTTGACGCCCTGATTCAAGGATGGATCCTCTCCACTATTTCTGACGAAGTCTTAGATCTGGTAATTTTTACCACCTCCACTACTGCTGAACTATGGCGTGTCATTCACGCGCTCTTCCATGATAACAAACATGCTCGAGCGATGTAACTCGAGCACCAGTTTCGCACCACAGCCAAGAGGACGATGCCTATGGCTACATATTGTCAAACTTTGCAAAACATTGCCGATTGGTTAGACGATGTTGATGCCCCAGTCTTTGAATCTCAACTCGTGCTTCAAATGCTTCGTGGACTACCCAAAGATCTCCAGGCCCAGACGTCCTTCTTACAATTCCAACAATCGCTGCCCACGTTCCTTCAGACCCGATCCGCCCTACTACTTCTAGATCGGCAACGGTAATCACTTTCGGAAGACACCAGCACAGCCCTTTTGGCAGGCCGAACCGGAGGCTCACAACATGGCAGCGGCAGCGGTGGCTTTGGGCGCAGCAGTGGGTCGCTCGGAAGTGGACACAACAGCGGAGATCGCGGGCAGTAGGGGCGCAGCTACGGTCGAGGCGGAGGTGGCTGTGGATGTGGACGAGGAAGAAACTCTGGCCCGCAACGACACCCATATGACGAACAAGTACCCTGGAACTCACTGAATCCCAGCCCCGGCTCGGGTCTACTCGGCCCTCTCCCACCTAACCCACCCTACCCCAATGCCTATGCCCACTACACCTTCCACCCCAACCCCACCCCACCCCTACAACTAACCCACCTACCCCGCCCCACCCCCACCCGCCTACCTGACAACCACCCACTACCTATCACCTTACCCGTAACCCCCACCCCCACCCGCAGGCTCCCAACCTCACACCCACAGCCTTAGCACACCAATTTGATACCATGACCCTTCGGGAACCCACATGGTATTTTGACACGGGAGCCACACATCACATTTCCTCCGATCCAGGTACTATTTCTCAGGTCTCTTCTCAATCATTAAATTCTCCATTATATATTATTGTTGGCAATGGTTCTAAGGTGAGAACTACGGTGGTGGGAAACCACACCCTTTCTACCAACCCCCCTTTATCCCTCAATAATGTCCTCATCTGCCCACCACATATTATCCTTAACCTTATTTCTGTTCGCTAGTTTACGCGTGAAAATAATTGTTCTATTGAATTTGATGCACATGGTTTTTCTGTGAAGGATCCTCGGACAGGAACCGTGATACACCGGTCAAATAGCACAGGCCCACTCTACTCCTTGCATCCCGCGCCCCTAGCTCAAGCCCACAGCACGTCCGTTGACATTCATACATGGCATCAGTGTCTCGGCCATCCTAGCCCGGTGGTTCTTCGTGGTGTCTCCAATGTCTCCAGTCTTTTTAAATATTTTACCAATAATAATTTATGTCATGTTTGTCAATTGGGAAAACATGTTCGTCTCCCATTTTCTCCTTCATGTCGTGTTTCTTCATTCCTGTTTGAACTATTATATACTGATTTATGGCAATCCCTGTTCCTAGTCTTAATGGATTTAAACATTACATGTTATTGTTGGATGATTTTTCTCACTATCTTTAGGTGTTACCTTTAAAACAAAAATATGGTGTTTTCACTCATCTCACTTCTTTTATCAACTATGTAAAAAATCATTTTAACACTACCATTAAAATGGTTCAATGTGACAATGGCACCGAATATCGTAACACCCCCCTCCGCTCTGTGTTTAGCTCCCTAGGCATCTTGTTTTGTTTTTCATGTCCTCATACCAGCCAACATAATGGTCGTGCCGAGCGGACCATCCGCACCATAAACAATACCATCTGGACTCTCCTATTCCAAGCCCACCTTCCCCTAGAATTCTGGGTGGAGGCTCTCTATATGACAACCCACTTACTTAACCTCTTCCCAACCACCGCACTCAATAACAAGATTCCCCACACCATTCTTTTCCGCTCTCCACCCACCTACAACCATCTTCGTGTCTTTGGTTGCCTCTGCTACCAAACACCTCAGCCACCGCTCCACACAAACTGGCCCCACGCTCGGCACGGTGCATCTTTCTTTGTTACCCTTCCTATCAACGTGGTTACCGCTGCTTAGACCTCCACACTAAAAAAATCATCATTTCCCGTCATGTCACCTTTGATGAAAGTGTCTTCCCCTTCACCCAAAACCCCTCGGCTGACGAACTCACCTTCCTTGACACCACAGAGGACGCCCTACCCCACTCCACCCACCAACCCAATCCTTCCCCATACTCACACCCCTCGGCCCACACCCCCACCAAGCCGAACAACTCCCCCTC